TGAGACCATTTCCAGGGAGTATCTTTTCGAAGGAGTAGATGAAGAGGAGATAATACAGTGGCTACATCTGGTAGAAATTTGTGGTAATAGTTCAATAGTCCTAAGAAGGATTTCAGTTCCGTGACGTTAGTAGGAGTAGGTGCTTCTCGAATAGCCTTCACTTTGGCTTCTGAAGGATGTAGACCATCTGAATCAATGATGTGTCCCAAGTACTCAACTGATGGAACACCAAATTTACACTTGGACTGCTTTAAAGTGAGTCCTGCCTCCTCTAGAGTTTGCAAAACAGCATGAAGATTATTGAGGTGATCAGCATCATCAGTACCAGTAACGAGTATGTCGTCTATGTAGACACATACATGCTGCAAGTGACTGAGTAAGTTCTCAATTGTACGTTGAAATAATGAGGGTGCTGATGAGACTCCAAAAGGAAGGCGCTCATATTGGAAGAGCCCTTTAGGGGTATTGATGGTTGTAAATTTCTTGGAAGCCTCATCTAGCGGTATCTGAAGGTAAGCGTGCTTTAAATCAAGTTTCGAGAAGATCTTTCCTCCAGCTAGGGCGGCGAACAGATCCTCTGATCGAGGTAGTGGATATGTATCAGTTAACAGAACTGGGTTCACAGTAACTTTGTAGTCCCCGCACAATCGAATAGACCCGTCAGTCTTTACAATGGGAACTATGGGTGCGGCCCACTCTGAGTACTTTACAGGTGTAATAACTCCTAAACCCCTTAGGCGATCTATCTCGTCGAATACCTTTTGTCTCAGGGATAGAGCGACAGGACGTGGTCGGTAGAACTTCGGTTTCGCATCTGACTGGACGTGAATCTTGGCTGTGAAGTCCCGCAGCTTCCCCAATTCTGAACGAAATACTGGAGCGTGCTTCTGGAGTACTTCACCTAAAGAAGAAAAAGAACAATTATAATTAACATGATTAATAAGGGACCAATCTAGTCGGATAACTTCCAACCAATTACGACCCAGTAGAGTAGGTCCATTTCCAGGAACTATCACCAGTGGTAGAGTAGCAGTCTGGGACTGATAACGAACATCAACATCTATAGCACCGAC